AAAAAAAAAAAAATAATCGGAATGTTTTGAGGCCTGCAATCTTATAACTTTATAAGTCAGTGAGAAGCTCAAAGTCTAGTACACTTGTTTTGGTAAAGGTTTTCTATATACAAATCTGATTAACTTATTTAACACAAACCCCATGCATGCATTTTCTTTATCAAACTAGCAAACAATGCAAGAAGCAGTAAAATTTTTGGTAATCATTTGTTGTTGCCACCAATGGTTGTGAAATTTCCTCCTAAACAGACTTCGAGGATGATACCATACCATTTACGCTGTGGAGTTGTAGAAGATTCTCGAAACCATCTAAGTTTTTTGTTGTCACACGTCGGGAAAGATTTGGCAGAATATTGCCTTACGATTACTTGGATCAGTCTACACCACAAACTGGGATTTGCTCGTCGGTTTGCTTAACTCAACACGACCGAAGTATAAGCTGTTTGTGATTCGATATGCATTTCAATCAGCAGTATATCACCTATGGAGAGAATGAAACCGAAGACTTCATGGTGAAGCAGCCACGCCAATGAGAACCCTCATCAAACAAATTGACAAAAACATTCGAAACCGCATCAACTCAATTCGGCTAAAAAGAGCGTATTCAAAAGCTATATATGGAGTTTCAGCTGGCGACCCGCTAAGCAAATTTCCTTTTTTTTATTAAAAAACAAAGTTACATTCATTGTAAAAACGGTTTTTTTATTTGAATACAAATTTTACATTCAATTAAAAAAAAATCATCATAAGACTGGAACATATATATATATATAGTATTTGCAATGGGTCTAATGTGGACATGATTAATAACTAGTAGGTGAACTATCATGATTGGCTTTAGAGAAAATATGAAACAGAGATTCTAAGCGTTTTTGTTCTACTCTTAAGAAACCAGAGCGGAAGGAGATATAGATAAATAGTCTCATAGAAAACATAGATATAGATAAATCGAACATGAAAGAGAAATCCATAGCTCAATACAAAAAAATACAAAATCCTTAGAAACTAAACGCAGAGCCGAAAAAAAGAGCAGCACCGGCTGCAACACCAGCTGAAACGAACGACGGCAAGATCGCACCGCATCCAGAAGTTGGACTAGGCGCCGGAGACTCAATGGACTGAGCAGAAGCGATGGAGAAGGCGAAAACGGAGAATATCGCCGCCATTAGAGGAACAATCGAAGCCTTGGCAATTGCCATTTTTTACTGGTATCGAAAATATTTCAAATTGCTAACGAAAATAATAGAATATGAGAATTATGATGCTGATGAGATGTAAAAATCAAAGTGGATGCGAGTATTTATATAAAGAGGTTCGGGCAGGCTGCCCGAATAAGCAAATTTACAGCTTGATCTGTGGGTCCTAGACATCGTTCTAATCGACGGTTGATATTGTTCCACGTGTTCGTTAAGATCTAGAAAGGTTTATTTGGGTCCCTTAACTACTGTTACGGCGCCGTTTTGGTGAAGGAAACGAAGGGTAGGTGACCGAATAATCAATCAAAAAGAGATTTCGTAAGAGGAAAAATGACAAATCGCCAAACGTGCAAACTGATGATACTTGTCTGAAATTATTTTGCTTCTATTTTTTCATTCTTAAGTTTTATATAAAAAAATAAATATACATTTTTAACGAATTACAAATTATGAATTTCGAATTCAAAATCAGTTAGTTACGAGAGAACAGACTCATATAAACTAGAATTCGAGAATATCATAGAGACAAAGAGCATGGCCGAGTGAATATCTTTTTTTACCGAAATACACGTGCAAATTAATCTCAGCTTTATATCTAATTAGACCCAATTCCCGCATTACATTTTATGATATCTCTATGTTTAATTTCATGATTAGTTTTGTAGTGACCATTATAACTCAAAAACTCAGAATTTTGTGAATCAAAGGCTCCAAAGCACTGGGAGAAAACTTTCTAGCAAAGAGATAACACATGGATGTGTTTTCTCCATTGTAAGTACAATTTTCACCTTTCAAGATTCTTGCAAACAACTCCTCATTGATGTCTGATTGTCCAAATGTAGCCGGGTGCGGACCGCCTCTCGACCAGTCGACCCAAGTCACACTACGGTTCGCCAAGGCCGCTGGTTTCTCCATAGTCAGCATTGTCGGGAAATAATGCTCATCCACGTAACAGGCGGGCGTACAAAACTCTTTGAATTTTGGGTAAAACAATGTATCTTCGACAATTGAAACTGCAAGCTCCCGATTAACCTCGAACCATTGTGACCCTTTTCTCCATTGGTCAATGGAAACTTCAGGGGACATCCTGTCATTGTAGCGGCCTCGGCCATATGGACTGGGATCATCAAATGAACCCATAAAGCTGTGCTTTGATTTGGTTATGTAACCGTAGATACTTGTGAAGTTGAAGAGGGGAATGCATGACTCGGAGAGAAGAACAAACCACTCGTTTGAGATATCGAGCAACGCATTTGCAAGAAGCCGCCTCTCTGCATCGCACATTGTCATTCTTCCCCACTCTGCAACCTGTCCAATGATGAAGATCATCCAATTACAATCAGATCATCATGAAAGTCTTAGAAGGTTGCACACTCTATGTCACAAATATATTCGTCATACCTGACTTGGAATCTGCCTACGGTAGAAAACAGAGGAACTTGGAAACTCGGTTGAAGAAGGTGCTTGTGAATGGATGTAAACCGAGTAATGCTTTTCATGACCCTTAAGAATCATCTCCCAAAGCGGTGCAAGCGGCAAGGGACCCACTGTCAAGAACATCAACGCGATTTTAGGGACCCGATTAAACGGATAGTCTTTTCTCCGAGGCATGAAAGACGCCCGCCAAAGAAGCTCTTCATCGCTCATATTATGCATGAGAACTAGAGGAGGTTTAGTCCATCTATCAATATCATCTGGTTTTACGCGGCAAGGCACAAAACTGGACTTGACCGAGGTCACTACACTATTGATACCATAAAACTTGATAGTGGATACACTAATGATGAAGAAAGCAACAGAGAAAGCTATAAAAAATCCAAGGAGAAGAAGCAATTTGAATGGAAACGCCTTATTTAGCCCTATCCGGTTGCTAGTAACTACAATTTCTTTGCCTTCTTCTAACTGAACAGCTCTACTCACCATCACTGCACTTAGAAATGAATTAACAATAGCGTTACGATGTTTTGCTTATATAAACTACTACCAAACCAAGAACATCAAAGTAGCATCACTTAATCAAATTTGATAGCAATGTTGATCACACTAGAAGAAGTGGACTCGATGATTTCGTGAAATCCAAAGTCAAAAGATTACTCCTTTTCTTGCAAACTCCTAAAACAAGAACACGAGATAAACATCAACTATGTCCAATCTAGCTCCAAAATCCGACAACGTTACAGAAATGGGTGGATAGATATAGCCGATTGAATTCCTTGTAATCTTCGGACCGAAATTCGAAGCACTCAAGGAGAAAACTTCAAAATTCCTAAATTAAGAAGAAAAATTGAGACTTTAAGAAATTAATCGTTGAATATGAGAAAACCGCCGGAGTTTCTGGCGTTCCCAGAAAAAAAAGAAAGTAGAAGAGCAAGAACAAGACTTACAGTAAGTAAGCAAAGACCCTTAATCGTGGGAAGATGAGATCAGAGTTGTCGTAAGAGCTTACGAATCCGTGT